CCTCCCTCTGAGAACACTTGGGAGCCTTTAGGAAATCTAGGCAATGCTAAAAAGGCTATTGCAGATTTCCATAGGCTTTACCCCTCTGCTCCCAGAAGGATTTCAGCCATCACCTTTGATAGGCTTCACTTCCAACCACTCATCAACTATACTATACCACCTAAAAGGGTTCTCTTTGATTGGACATCTGGAAAGAAGAAGGGAAAAGCAGAAGAAGGAGTATCAACATGCTGGGACAGCATGTCTAGAAGGGGGGGTGATGTCAGGGCACCAGCTCATTGCTTGGTCAAGAGACATGACTAAGCCTTTATGACATGGAAGTAGCTGGTATACCTTGGCATGTGCTGGAACCTGCTGGAAGGATTGGATGGTCAGGTGACCTGCTGTGCATGGCTGTGCATGACCTCATATGACCTCATCCTTGGTCATATGACCTGATCACCTGACTAGGCTGAGTAAGCAAGATGTTCTAGCAGGTTCCACCACAGAGGTATAAATATAAGGCCTACTCTGCCTGGGACTGTCTCTTCAGACTTGGTCTCTTAGGATCATCCACAGATACCTATACTGTAGATAGGTCTTAGTCATCAGGTCTACTCCACTTCCTTGTTGCCTGCTTAGACTCTTGGCACTCTTAGGTGAGCAGACTTAGTCAGCCTGTGTTGCCCTAACAAACAGATGGCAATTCTTGCACTGTCTGAGATGTTTGCTGGCAGTATTACTGAATGGTCTCACAGGCTGGCCATGTTCTACAGAAGGGTAGAGCAGGAGGGCCTTTGCGGCAGATATTGGCTCATGTGGCCAAGTCCAGCTTTGATGGAGTACAATTGGTTGGGCAGGCATCTACTGGATATCATGCCCTGGTCACACCAAATTGGGCCAGAGTGCGAGCAACCACCTGGGCAAATCAGGCAGTAGTCACTTTACCTAACATTTCAAGATCTTTCATGCATTGCCATAATGTTCACAGTTTGATGGTCCTAGACAGCCTTGCTGGCAGGTGTTGGTGATGCCAAGTCCAGTTGCCATGCCATTTGACTGGCTGAAGCCAGTCACTTGTCCAGAATATGATTTCAGACTGCTAGATTGTGTGAGCAATGAGTATTTCTTGTCCAAAAAAGGTTTTCCACATGCATCCATCCACTCTGTATACCTTGTAACAGCTGTTATTATGAATGCCTACTGATCCTGATGCTGGTGTCTGATTGTTACAGCTGAGAGGCATTGTGAAGGAGAAGAATATGGTCTCAGGCATGAGGTCTGCCTCTGATGTTCTTCAGCAGGTTTGTTGTGGTTGATTACTACCAAGCATCTCCATCATATCACCCTGCAGCATACAGCAGTGATGCCGTACTTTCTGCTTGGCTTCGGAGCCCAAGCCAGAGTTGAGTAATCATCTCAGTCTCTGGGAGTGCTTGATTGAATAAGTGGAATTGACTTGTTCATTCATTGAATCCTTGCTTGTTGACTCTGACATCTCATCACTAGCCTCTTGACCTCAACTGTCATGCTTATCTTGCTCCCTGCATCCACTTCACCCCAACCCAAATGGAGGTATGAACACCATCCTCCAATGTCAACCTCACACCAGTCTTCCCCCAGGTACCAAGCCCTCGAAGCCTCCATCACCTTTGGCTACATTGAACACCAGTTTGCCCCTGAGCCAGGTCTGTCACACCTGCCCACATAATGCCAGACCTTGATAGGGCATGATCTTATTCTTCATCAGTTCGAGAAACAACATTGTTCACAGCTCAAAAAGTTTATGTCATGCTTCTCTAATGTGGTGCACCCCATCTTCTTGATCATCAACCCTGCCACATGCAAAACCAATTTACAAATGTTTTACTCTGGTCTTTAGAAGTTCGCGCTTATGTCCATAGCACTACTTCATTATCAATACCTTTTTTAATTTGGTAAAAGTAGGGTGTTTTGCCTCTGATCTACATCAACCTTGTCTATACTCGTTCGAGATGTCGTTTGAACGTCAAATCCAGGCTCGAAACTAGAATGTGCAGCACCGACCTAGCCGGTAAATGTCCGTATTAATCAGAGATAATGCGAATTGTGGTGTTCTGGAAGAGCAGAAGACTCCGCCTTCCTCGGTTGTACAGCTGAATGAGGATGATCGCACAATTGCAGATGTATTCCCGTCTTCGGGGCAACAATCCCCCGACACAGTTCCCCCGACAGTACTTCATGGTGATAATCTACGCGTTCTCCACGTACGTTGTCTCCTCTCTAGCCGAGTCCTTTTTCTCTCCGCTTCCCTGTCCCAAGCTTCCTTCCTCTGTCTCTGGCACGAATTCTACCGGTTTGTTCAGATCTCCATGTTCCTTAGCATGCAGATGACGATCATGCGGCTTGAACTTGGCAGAGTTCCAAGGTTTAACGCCTGACCGATACATCTCGTCCACTTCTTCCAGTGATAGGCCTTTGGTCTCAGGAACAAAGAAGTAAACGTAGACGGTGCCGTAAATAAGCATCCCGAAGAAGACCATGGTGATTAAGGGGCCGATTCTGCGCGGACCAATCAGATCAGGACGAAGAAATACTGCGCAAAGGTCGGCTCACTCATCCGCAATCGTTGGAGAAAAGTAGCCGAGGAGGAAATTCCATACCCAGTCTAGAAAACTCGTGCTCAGACACGACTTCAATGTAGGTGCAAAAGACATACTTGTTGCACTTCCTAGTGCGATTGCCTTCGGGCGTACACGCAGTGGAAAGCTCTCACCCAGGTACACCCAAGGCACAGGGCCCCAAAACATGTTAAAGGCGAAAACATGGATGATCGCAAAGGCAATCAGGACGTCACCACCCGCGATGTTTCGAGCCGTAAGCTGGTCCGGAGGTGTGCCGACCTGGTTCGAGAATTAACTGAGCTTCTAATGTTGTTGGAAGCACGCACGGGAGCAAGTGTGTAGTGGCCTACAAGTCCTGCGATAATTGCGCAAGCCGCTTGCCACAAGGCCCCGACGAGGAGCGACTGGAAAAGGTGTTACGCTGCTTTCGGGAAGCCTTTCTTCCCTTACGTACCGTTCGTCTTCCCCACTTCTCAACAACATACATACCCTGTCCAGTTCTTAATGCCGGTCCCCAAGGACATCTGAAATGCATACCGGAATAGTGGCAACCACCGACACACCGCCAAGGATGACTTGAATGACATACGCACTCATGCTGCATACTGTTCAACACTTGTTGTTGAAGACGCGACGGGAGAAACGTACTTGAGATTTGCGCTCTTGAAGAAAGTATCTCCATACTGACCTTTGTGTTAGCTTGTAAATCGGACAAAGGAACGGATATATGCGCACATAGTAATAGAAATTCTGCCCATTCAGCTGTTGTACGAATTGGAGCATCATGCCATTGATTGTGCGCCAATAAAGTTTGTTTCGGTGGGAGAAACATTCGATCCAAGTGGCTTTGCCTCCCTCATTCTCTTCGCGAATAGCCTCGCGTAGCTCGTCAATTGTCTCGTGCACGAGGATGTCATCGATCGGGACATTGTTCCTGCGAAATTACAAGGTCAGCAGGTTTTAGTTTATCTGAAGGGAGGAAGCAAACAGGATTGCGATCGACCGACGAGCCTCGTCTTCCCTATGAAGACCTAGAAGATGACTGCAGAAGTGGTCAAACACCGAGAATACCGGCGGTTTTATGTAGCTTACCGAGGCGATTCCGGGAGAATAAATAGGGCGAGTATTAAGATGAGGCCCCATAACATCTGGATACCGACCGGAATGCGCCAGGATGCCGAGTTTGCGATATTACTGGTGCCGAGGTCGATACAGTAGCTGATGAAGAGCCCGCTCATGATCTGGAATTGGTAGAGAGCAAGTAGAGCCCCTCGGATTTTCTTTGGGGCAGCTTCTCCGTTGTACAACGGGACGATAGCCGACATGGCTCCAACACCGAGACCAGCGAAGAATCGGCTAGGGTTTCTATTAGCGTTGTTCCTCAAGGTATGCTGATGCGCTTACCCGAATACGATCTGACCGAGGCTATACGTTGTTGAGATCTGGATAGCGACACCGATCGTAAAGATACCAGCCCAGAACGCAATTGACGCCCGCCGACCAAGGCTATCGGCGGTGAATGCCTGCGCAAGCGCGCCGATGGTCGTGCCGACGGACAAGAGCGACGTGATGAGTGACTGCCGAGTCGCTGAAAGAACCATCTCGCCATTGGGACCAGTGGGTTCGCCAAAGCGATTAATGAAATCGGGCATGACGAGACATCCTGATATGACACCGATGTCATACTGTATCGTATTCAGAACATTGATGAAACAATAGGTAGATACACATACACCGAATAGAAATCCTAATAGAACTCTGTAAGACTGGTCCACAGCTGTCAACAGGAAGCGACTCACCTCCGAAAGCGACAAAGACGCAGAATACTGCAAGACGCAACTATTAGATCGCCCACACAGTGCAAGAAATGGACACTCACAGATGGATTTTAGATACCCCATGCTGTTACCCAGAGTCCAGGAAGGCAAGGATTCGCTGGAGTGAAGGCACGGATACCAATCCTTATGTAGTCCCGAACCGGAAGATCTCCGTCGTTCGGCGTAACCCAAGAGCCTTCGTCAATCAGCATAGTGTCGACGCACAGACCCGGGGTAAGCTCATCTTCTCCATACTGACGTAGAACTCCGACAGAGCACGCCAGGTGACAACAGGTTGAAAGTTCGTGCGGCATTCTATCGTGCTTCTCGCAGGCTTCTTTGTGGAGGACCGCGCGTCCGCTCGCTTCTTCCCCGGCTCTCGACTGGATTTGGTTATTCCAATCCAACTATTGTGGGGGATGAGCATACATAGATACCGGAACTGCACCGAGACATCGCATATATGGAGAAACTGGCGGAAAAGATGTCCTTTGCAAACTTGTCAGCAGTATACACAAGTGATCATGGTGTATCCAGCTCAGGACGCGTTCCGCGACGCGTCTGCCCAGCCTAAAGCTGTGCACTTTTGGACAAGATCCACCATACGCATACGGCATGCATGAAGTCCATCATTCGATCTCGATCATACTATTACACGACCTGAGAAAACCATCTGATATAGTGTTTGGGACTCAGTGCGGCTTCAAGGACCGTTAATCTATCCGGGTCATCATGGCCAAAGGAATAGTCTGCACTGCATGATGTGTTCACCGAGTATGCTCATATCAAGTCGAAGTTATGCGCTATGTTGGAGGTCTGTTTTCAGCTCTCTGTTGGTTCTTCTATGTTTTCAGACCTTACCGTTCGAACGGGTGACGTTTGATGCACGATACTCCTCCACCAATCTATCGATTACCTCGCGGCGGTTTAGATTAGAGCGGTAAAATGTCTTCCACCCGTTGTTATCCCGCTTTGGATGCTGGAAATATATGCGTCAGATCTACTTCATCCTTCGTAAGTTAAGGTCAATTTAACCTCTTGTGCAAATCTGATCCAGTCAATCAGATGGTGCCTCGGAGGAGGCCAGAAGCATCTCGGGGATGCAAGATACCTCGCCAGTTCCTTAACATCCTGAAGCTCCTCTTCTAAGTTTTCCTTGAGTTCAGGGACATCAGGAGGCGTTGTGGAGGTTCTGTCTGATGTACGGTCCAGCTCGTCTTCGTTTTGTTCATGAACTGTGGCAAGCAGAGGAGTGTTAATCTGCGCGAGACCAGCAGGACACGAGGTTGAAGGACTCCACGACGCAGCCCGCTCAGGCATATTAATGGATTCAAGAGACGATTGTGGTCCGTTTACGCTTTGGGAACGTGATGGGCGTGGAGGGGGGGAGCCAGTTGATGGTTGGATTACACGAAAGAGGGGGAGAGGTGAACGAGGTATGTTGCGAGCAACAGGGGTTGCCTCTTGGCTTCTGACTGGTGACACGCTATAGAAGTCCGTGAAGTTTGAATGTTCTTGGCCGTGGTCAGTAACTGTTTTTATGCTCTGACGCTCGCTGATCGGCCCTCTAATCACTTCAGCCCTCAACTCTAAAGTTGCTTATCAGCTGTGGTCAAAAGAAACTGGCTATATGCACTTGCCATCGACCTCTTTCGCTTTCGCGGCGATACTTTCTTTCAAGATTTCCATGTTCATATATTGTGCGTGTATCGGTTTCTCGTATGCCTTGCAATAATTGGTGTACAAGTCGATGAGGTCGCGTTGAGCAACAATCAGAGCATGGACATCAACGTTTTCGTCACAATGAAACGACATGGTGGAAGAGAACAGAAGAGAAACCTTCGAAGTTTACACAGGCATTATTCTGCAAGGAGTAATACTACTCTGCAAGATATATGCTTGGACCAGAAAGTATCTCCGCCGATAGTTGCGGCAGAGATACTTTTCCGGAAAGAGGCCACCTCCTTCTTGGGCAAGTCCCACTTTTAAAACTCCGAGACCTCGCCTCGGGTAAAGCAGGTGAGTCCACTAGGTGACATGTAAGGCGTGCTTGATGTGATTTCCAGGAAAAACTGAATTGAAGTCGCCACGCGAGTTTCTCCAAGTACCAAAAAAGGCAATCGTTTCCTTCGTGAGTCCGAGCATCGCTGTGTTCATGCCGGTCAATTCGATAGGACACTTGTGAGAAGTGTGATTTCCTGAAAGAAACGATTCAAGGTACCCTCGTGACTCCAGCCCTATCATTACTACTGATAAGGTCGGCAAATGCTATATAAGGCTCATTCAATCCACTTTCAGTCGACCCAACTCTTTCCTTTCTCCCAACTATCTCCGGTACCTGTGTTCTCCCTGCTTGAATATCTGCCTCGAACAGGGCTGTTTTCTCTAACGACTTGCTTGAAACTCATGAGACGATGCTTCTCCTCAAGGACACTCTGACGAAGGCGAGGACGAATCCAGTCCTCAGCAAACATGTGAAGAAGGTTGACATGAAGGAAACAATCATCAGGCTGCAACATATGATTTCAGGTGTGTGCATATATGCATGTCCTCTCCAGTATCCGAGCGAGCCCAATCACTTCTAGAGAGCTTGAATATCAGCCCCAGAAATGTTCCTGTCCGCACGGCCACCCGCGTCCCGGCCACGGCTCGTCCTACCCTGCCTACTCGCGCCCACCTCTCTCGTACGCAGCCCCGTCCCTTGCAGTGCCATACCGCGGCTCGAGATCAAGACTTCATCGTGATAGATGAGGACTGCTTGGTAGACGGGGATGCCGAGTTCCAGCCACAGAGTGAGAACCGCATCGAGTGCAGCCCCAATCGCGCGGAGGAAAGGCCTGCGCCTAGAAAGAGAGCTCCTCGAAAGTATATCCCACCAAGTAGCGAGGACATCTACTTGCTTGCACATCATCTTGCTTCACTGTCTGGGAGACCGAGATGGGGTCGAAAGGATCAGCTTGATTGGGCTGGCTTTGCACGGAAGGTAAACTGCCCGTGGCCAAACTGTAGAGTGTTGCACTAACCAGATGCATGATGACTTCAGAACCCTAAGAGGTGCCGCCGTAGCTGGCGTAACTGGTATGTTGGGCAACCTCAACGCAGGAAGACGATCGATGCACTTGTTGAGAAGTACAAGAGGGAGCTGAAAGACGAGATGCCTGGTGAAAGGGAGCTGCCGATCGAGTTGCTGTAGTTCTCTACGGAATCCGTCTTGATATTCCCATTCCTCTCCTTAACGAACAAATGGGTGTACTAGTATTGACATTCTGAATGACTCGGAATGGTAACCTATGCATTGCGCTATATTATATTATGAAGCTGCCTGTATGCCCTACTTTGTAGTCAAACACATAAACCTTGCCCTCCATATCTCCCCTGTAAGGCTGTCAGCAAGGTGTGGGATCAAGGTGTGAAGTCACGCACGCGATTAAAGGATATCGATGCTGTTGGGTATCATCACCAAACGAAAGATGCGCTACGGGCTGATCGAGTCGAGCGACCACCTGTCCTCCCATCCTCTCCGTTGCTCTGCGCGTATCCCAGCGTCGTACACAGCCTGCAATGGAAACATCAGCACACCGAAGGGGCGCATATACGCAGGACGGACCATCAGAACCACCAGTTATGAGAGTATCGTGCCCCATCCAGCCCAAGCTGGCGATGCCGTATGTGGCCTGCGTCCCGCCCCGAATGCCAAACCGGTGTTCCATCTCCTCTCTGGAGTAGGTGACGTGTCCAAAGACGTGTAATGGAAGAGTGGCATTGCGGATGTCGTAGATCAGGGCGCAGTTGTTATCTCGGGCGATGGCGATGTACCTTCCGCAGGGACTTGACAGAACCCGTGAGCAGAAGCTAAATATATGCGCGTCAAACTCACGAGAATTGCACATCCATTATATGGCATTCATCGGATAACGACGGCGGGTGTGTGATATATCCAAATTCTGGAAGATGACACTCAAGAACAGTCTGTGCATCCAGAACTTGCGGCTCGTAGACCAACAAAGACTGTCGGGCCATGTTGCTACGTTGACCAGCGACGATAGCCAACCGACTGCCAGTGCCATCTAGTGCCATCACAGCTCCTCCACCTGGAACACCGGAGAAGTTGTACATTGTTTTATGGTTGCCCGCGACATAGTTGGCGGCGTATGCTTCACCGTCATTCTGGTTCTGACCCGTGTGCTCGGTCGCGAAGAAGACCGTTGAAGAACAACTCGCTTTGCCCCAGGTCATCGAGCTGACTTGACGGTCAGGGTTGCTGCCTTCTATGTAATACTGTGTGGTATAATCTTGCCCAGAGTGAACATATACACGACTGCAGCCAGAACGTGAGCTTTGCAAATTGAGAATAGAGGCTAGGCTTACCCATCGCTCCCTCCCACTGCGAATATCTTCTCCCCTCCATGAAACACAAGATGATGTGGATGCTTATCAAACGCTGTCAAACTATGAGCTCTAGGGAATACGATCATTCTCGACACGCACTCCACGTATGTGTGTTGACATGAGGTTTCTCTGGGTCAGGACGATCCCATTTTCTCACCGTCCCATCGGCGCCGCTGGAGACGAAGCTGTCATCCCTAAGACAGGTAATGAGCAAGATGAGCGATATTCAGAAGCCTGTCATACGTGAAAGGATCGAACGCCACACCAAAAACGGTGGCATAGTGCGGTCGAGCTAAACCAATGCCTATCAGTCCGCAGCGCATCGAAAGCGATAATCCTTACTCGCCCCAAGCCCAGGATCGAACACGTCTCGGAAGATGTGCTCATGCAGTACATTCACTATCCAATTGTCAGGATGTCAAGCACAAACAGGAAGCTCACCCACCCTCGTCCGTAGATCGTTCCTCATCGTCACTATCCTCCTCCGTCATCATCCAAACACCCAAGTTTCCAGGCTTGTTATATGCGTTCAAGACATAGTCTTCTGTTCAAGGATGTCAGTGTTACGGCAACTGAAGTGTCGGATGCCTAACCATCGTTCCTCCGGTACTGTTCTTCCCCAGCAGCAACAGCAGCAGCAACAGCGACAGTCCCGTTTCTCGACTGGTCTGTGGCCCATATCGCTACACTACGTGAGCATAACCTTTGCATCCTGTATGACGACGCGTAACTCACCTCCCGAAGTACCAACCAGCTCCCTAATGACCCTCAGAGCCCGACCCTCCCCTTGCCTCACAAGCTCGATTTTGTTCCCAGTCTGTGTTATGCTTGACCTGTCGAGGAGCATATTAGGAGTGCGTTTCAGACTCAGGGCAGGGCCCACGTCGGCCTGCATACACAGTCAGAAGGAGCAAGAATGTCAACTACAGGTGCTTACGAAGTCCCAAGGAAAGTCCGGAGCGCTTATGCTCTGCCCTCTCCGATCCATGAACACCGTCAGGACCTCCAGTGGCGCGCGAGTAGTCTCCATGTTCACGACGAGCTATCCTTTGCTTAGTCAAAGCAGACTCGCTAGTCATAGAAGCTCACTTCTTTTAGTCTCAGCTGCTCTTTGAACGCTGTCTTCGCGTCAGCTTCTCGCGCGTCTTCTTCCACCACCATCGTCTTCTGGTCTTCTTCTCCCTCCTCCTCCTTCACAGGCAACACGCTAACGAGCGAAACGGACGGGAAACCAGCATGGTAGTCCTTCCAGTCTTCTGTCTCTGATGGGTCGTACGCGAACCCCCGGCGGTGAACTATAGCCTTGAGAGAGAGGGAGCGAAACTCTCCCGTCGGAGGTGATAGATTTCCAGGGGAGCATGTGCGTGAGCGCTTGAGGGGCTTACTGCTCTCTGCCTAAGGGAAATGAGAATGAGGGGTAGGGTGGACTTGGGCGCTTACATCAGAGGAATGACGTCCGAAGTCTAGAGGCTTGACCTCGCCCTCGGACGAGTCACTCAGCTCGTGAACAACGGGGTTCGCGAGCAAAGGAGACTGTTCGCGTTTCACCTACGCAGAACAGTATAGTTAGGCAACATGATGAACACTTAGGTACGGAGGTGACGTACGTTGCTCGCACGACCTGATTCCCCCATCGTTTCCTTTGCAGATTGAATTAAGCTCGTCCTCACGACGCCTTTTGGTTGTCGTAGCGGTGGTGCAGGGAGCGCAACACAGTCGTCGTCGGAGTCTGAGTCGAGAAGTTGAATAGGTTGATCCACTGCACCGGCATTGAGGGGAAGTGGGTTGGGCCTTAACCCAACCGGAGCGCGCTGGGAGACCGATGTTGGAAATTCAAGAGTGAAAATAGGAAGTAACTCACTGAGGGCTCGTTCATCCGTACGTGGGTGATCTCCGTCTTCACCCTAATGATTTTAATCTCGGGCTCTTCCTTCTTCGCCTTGAGTTGAGGGGAGTTCCGCACAGGCGTCGCGGTACTCCCATCCTCAAGCTCATCCTCATCATCCAACTCGATCGCTTGCTCCCTCGTGCTCCCCTTCTCTGACTTTCCCGTGCCCATCTGCTCGTAATTCCTGCCTCGGGAGATGATGGCGTTTCCCCCGCGCTTTGAGGGAGATGAGCTCGTGCGGCGGTAGGGGACACACTTGGAAGGGGCCATTGTCTTGCCACCTGAATTTGTGCTTGACGCCGCCCAGCCTCAGAGGCCTGAGCTGATGTCATGTTTGACGGCATGTTGGAGATGTGTCATTTGCATCCGCGCCCGATCTACTGGGACCGGGCGATCAATCATCAGAAGCAACGCTTTTCTGCAGGTGAATGAATGATGTGTAGTCAACAAACTCCTTATTTTATCACTTTTGTTTGGTACTGAACAACAGTCCACGCAGTCGTAGTACATCATGAACAGAGAGAAACTCGCACAGAAATGAAATGAAAAAGATATCCAAATCGAACCCCTCAACCCTCGAGCAATCGAGTCGTTACGCGTCTAGTCTAAGCCCACAAGTCCAGGACGACACGACCGACGAGAGAACCTGCGTGGAGCTGGTCGTACACACTTGGGAGATCCTTGAGCGGCAGTGTGCGGAAGGACGTCTCCAGCGCGCCGGAAGCAGCAATCTCCAGCGCCTCGATGGCGTCCTGCCTGTTCCCGACGTACGAGCCTTTGAGCTGCTTCTCGAGGAAGACGGTCCAGAACACGTCCGCGCTGACCTTCGCATCGGGTGGCAGACCGACAGCGACTACTGTGCCGTGCGGGCGGACGTACTGCAGTGCCTCTTCGTAGGCGGCACCAACGGAGGAAGTGACAATAGCGGCGTGAGGCCCGTCGCCGTCGGGGGTAGCGGCCTTCACAGCAGCGACGATATCCTTCGTCTCCTTGAAATCGATCCAGCGCTCAGCGCCGAGCCTCTCGCAAAGCGCCTTCTTCTCAGCACCGGTATCGACAGCGATGCATCGCAGACCCATGTAGTGTGCGTATTGGACGGCAAGATGGCCGAGCCCTCCGCCGGCACCGGGCAGGACGACCCACTCGCCGGGGCGGGCGTTGGATTGCTTCAGTGCCTTGTAGACGGTCACACCGGCGCAAAGGATGGGTGCGGCCTTGTCCATAGGGAGCTCCTTGGGGATTTTGGTGAGGTGGCGGGTGAAAGAGACAGCGTCTACATGATCTGGTCAGCCCAATGCCTCATTCAGCAAGTAGAGATGGCGCACATTGTTGGAAGGAGCCATCAACGCTGAATCCGGAGCACAAAGCGTGGTGGCACAGCGGCTCGTAGCCTTGACGGCAGTACGAGCACTTGAGGCACGAATCGGCAAGCCACTTGATGCCGACTCGATCACCCAGCTTGAGATCGGTGTCGCTGTGCTCGCCGATGGCGACGATGATACCTGCACCTTCGTGTCCACCGATGAGGGGTTCCTTGTGGATTAATGGCCAGTCACCGAGTTGAGCTGTGTGAGACTGTGAGTGATTGTCGGTGGTGATGTTTGATGAGCACTAACCATGGAGATCGGTGTGGCAGACACCAGAGTACAGAACCTTGACCAGAGCCTCGTTGGGCTTGAGGTCAGCGGGCTGGACGACGGGAACGGTCTCGATCGCCACCTGCTTGTTACGGACGACAGCGGCCTTCTGGGTCTGGGGGATCTGTTCAGGTGTCATTATATTGGTGGTGGTAGAGAAGGAGGAAATGCTGGCTGGGCGCAGTGCGGTAAGGGTAGGAGGAAGTGTTGAGTGTCTTGGAGTGCTTTGAAGTGGGAGAAGGATACGACGAGCAGGGCCTGCGTACTTATACGCTGGGGTCACGCGTGTATGAATGTTGCGGATGGCGGGATGGCTGTTATTCCTTGAAATGGATCTGCGGATCCCGACCAGTCCGAGTCTCTCCATCGCAGTTTCCAAAGGTGGTTGAACAACGTTCCAAGACCCGATGCGATGACAGGAGTTCACACAGGTCGAGGGCTGGCTCCATCGGTATGGGCATGGCGCTCCTTAAGTGCTTAGGCCAGGCGGGACGGACCATGCGGAACGGGGGGGGGGCGCGAACCAGACGGCGCTCGTGGCGGGAGATTCTCCGGCCGGCAGACCCACGTTGGGGCTAGATCCTGGAAGGCGTCATGAGACCTTTGTGGGTATGCAATAGAAAAAGCCCGCCTTCGCCGGGCCAACGGCATCGGTCCTCCTCATACGATTGTATAAGTCGGCGAAAGAGGCGGAAACTGAACTGCTGAACAAAGATAAGTTTGGCAGCGGAAGCGGCATTGATGCGCCGTCCCACCTAAAAGCATAGCCACGAAGCATGTGATTGATTCCCAAACAGCGGGTGGTAATCCCAATCCGGTTACACCCGGTGGAAGAGCGCCCGTCCGCTCCCTCCACGCGTTCGGTGGGTGCCTGGAACAGCGGAGACCCTGCCTTCAGAAACTTCTCCGCAAACAGCGGTATTGTCGAACCTAACAATCGCGTGTACATCCCCATAAGGAAGCTAGGATATTCTGGAACGGCTGTCTTTATCTTGGTCTCGAAAATTTGCTGGCAGCCGGTTACACTAACTTGACGTTGTTGTAGTTCTGGAGCACCCTGGAGCACCGCCGACCGGCACTGTTCTTCCTCTCGTCATATCCATTACACCGTGGGAGCGTGCTTCGGGGGGTCATTCCCGTTCGATCTATTCTTACCCCTGGACCGATTTGTAAATTCCGATCACGGCCAACTCCACACTCACGCGTTCTGCAATCCCTCCAGCGGTAGGGTGCTTCTCCCTCAGGTCAGGTGTGCACATTCAACATCCGTATCAACCCGTACCCCGCGCTTCTCAGGTCAACAATGTATTGACCCCCGCGCTGTACCATGGCGACGACTATCCCCACATTCCGACGTCAACGTGCAATTCGCTGGAGAGGGATCGCCAAGCTTCATCCCGCAGTCTTTTACCATCATCCCCGCGTTTCACTCAGGGTGAGATCATCAGATTGCAGGGAGCACCGGGTGTGCCTATCGTCCCTTGTGGAAATAACAATGAAAATCCACGAGGAGAGCTCGAATCGCGGCGTGGAGGAGTGCTGCGTGGGAAAGCCTGCTTATAATGAACTCCCCGAGGCTGCCCGAGAAGAAGTCTGGAAGATAACGAGACTGACCAGGAACGAAGAGAACAGTGTAAGCATGAGATGCATCAGACCATTGAAATTTGATTTCAGACTCGAAGACATGGGTCTCATCGTCTAAAATAGCGACATATCGGGAAAGCCTTGCACCAGAGTCACTGCCGGTTTTTCACATTTAGAACTGATCGAGGTCAGCAAAGGTAGCCGATGAATCAGACCAGAAGCCCGACAACCCCGTGGGGCCCCACGATTGGGGCGGTTAGTCACGCAGAAACGGCAAGACAGGGGATGCACACCGAAAGACAGCGCACTGTTCTTCCTTCAATCCTTTCGAAAACACTCGCGCTTTCCCACCCTTTCAATCACACCCCTCCAAGCTGATCCCGAATGCAGATACGGTGACAGCTAGGGGTTGCTCGTAGGCCAAACGAGCAATTTCCTCTCGCTCGCGCACGGGGTGCGCTCCCTTGACTCTCGATGGCTCTTTGCGTTGTGCTGACATTGTCGTCTTTCTGCTGTTTCATGAAGAGGCCTTTGAACTTGCATCTTGCATCAGACAGCAACAGCAGTCTGATGGGGAGGGCCACTGGTGCCATTCTTGGTACCGTATCAAGGCGTGCGCCAGATCAGAAACCTCCACCAACCAGGAAGTCAGCACTTGCTGCGGTAGACCGTCTCATCTGGGAGCAATATACACACCACAGGAAGGAGCTGGCCAGTTCATGTAGTGGAGAATTAAGCTCGAAGAAAGTGTGCGCCGGGATTGCGCTGGGGGAACTCATAGACAGAAACCCCAATCGAAACCTTCTTGTTGCGTATTACTGCTAACTTCTGCTTTCAGAATCTCGGTAAAGACATCGTCTACGCTTTCCAAAACGAGCTGTAGAAACCTTCGCTGCCGTGCCCTACGTTGTATCGAAGATTGTCCAAAGATCGCCCGGATATGTCTCTAGCGGTCAGACTTCCTGAATCTCCGCCTGCCGCTTCCGAGTCATTTTGTCCCAGAGTTTCTCAACCAAGATTCTTCACACAGAGAACGGCATGCTCGGACTGGCCACCGGCAATGTGCAAACGATACGATCAAGTGTCAGCTCTTGCGGGATTGACCACCAAGACCAGGCATAAGGTACAGATCAGCGTCAAAATCGCGGCAGACCAGTGAGCAACAGGAGAAGAGATGAGCACTTGAGTTATGAAGCCTTGTATTGGTGTTCCATTGCGGTAGTGATTGAAGGCGGAATGACTTGTGTACAGGGAAACACAAGTCATTTCTGAGCGGAAACAATTGTCCTGCCGAATGATGCCGAAGCACTGCCACTAGCCTGTGAATATAAGTAGATCAATTAGAGCGAATTGGGACGAGGTAATTCCTCCGATGACCCCTTTCGGGCGCATTTTGCCTACCATGACCTCTCGGTGCAAATCCCTGAAATGACCCCAAGGCCTGCCCTAAGCAACCACGGACCTTCCAATTAACGAAGGTGGTGGTAGCAGTTCAAGATGCGCTAGGGTCCGGTCTCTTCGTGCCGGTGTATAAAGCATGTTCTGACAATTAATTCGCAAGTCTTTGTTTTTTTTTGATTAGTTATGTTACAGTATATAAATTAATTCTGCATGGATGCCTCTAATAAGAATTCACCGATTTTCACCAACGTAAACATAGGTGAGGAAACACCGCACTTTTACGGCAAGGCAATGAATTTTGCAGCAGTTATTGAAAATAATAGATACCATACACAATGCCAACCAGCTTGTTTTAAAAAGGTCTGTTCTGATAGCAAAACATTCACAAAACGCATCGTTGGATTCACCGGAGACACGTGCTTCTATTACCACAGCC